TATGTCTGCAATGGCAACTTTAAAATGCATGCTCAGGTGTTCTACTTTTCCAGTTTTTGGTTTTTTTAAACGTGGGAATTGATGATCATTTCTCTCTTTTTTTCGTTTTCCTTGAACTGATGTATCCTATCTGTTTGACCTTTTTCACATAGGAATGGAAAATGGTTACTTCATCTTTGGTTACTTTTCACTGAAAATGTTGTTGCACATGCAACCATTAGCTGCTCAATTATCCCAATATGACCAGTGTGGTCTTGCATTCAAGGTTAATATGTTTTTACAAGTTGGTAGTCTTGCAGGTACCAGTGTGCTGTGGGCTTTACAGCATGGAGAAAGTAGCATCACGTGCGTCATGGATACTTGGAAGAACTGGGAAACATCTATTCTTGACTGATAGTGATTACGGAAAACCTCCTCTTTTGCTTCAGATGGTCAAAGACTCTGAAGATCTAAAATTTATGTGCGTTATACGAATTCATTACATTTTATCTTTCAAATAATGCAAATTTAACTTGTGAAATCTTTTGCATTCTGGATTCTTGTGCAGATCTGCTTTGCACTCATTCAAGCGACAAGTGGCCTATGCAAATGTCCGTTTTGACCGTATCCTCTTTCTATTTTTACCGGCTATTCATTTCTTTTGGCTTCATTTTATTGAGCAGACTGCACTCAAAATATCTTTGGGTTATGGGAAAGGTTTATGAGCTGTGGGATTAAGCATGAGAGCATTGATCGGTAGAAGTATGACTATCTGAGATGCAAATATACTATCTGCAATACAAATAATAGTTTATTCTTGCTGTATACTTTTTCTATAGAATGAAGATCTTGACACATTACATAGATCTTGTTGGGTGGAGTTCATCGTCACTGCGTAGAAGGAATGAGCTACCGAAGGTAAAATTTAGCGATTATACAGCAGAACTTATATGTACGATCATCTTATACTATTCTTTTTCCAGAGACGAAATCTTCAAAAGCATGCTAAATACCCACACATTTTTTATGAACTGGCGTCAAAAACTGACAAACCTCAAGAAGTTCGTTTGGAAGCCAAAATTGTTAGAGGCAAGACCAATGAAATGGAAGGTTTGTTAATTCTTCAATCTACTAAATCAACGATTATTGTCTCCTTCAGTAGCAAATCTTAATGTGGTTCACCATTGTTCTGGTAACTATGTATTTATTCTCTAAAATGATATTTTATTGGAGCAATGCCATATTTCTGATTGATCAGACTTTGTTTTCTTTTAAAATATTAATGCAATGGCTAAATATTTACGTCTTTGCTTTGGTTAAAGTTGTATTCACACGCTATCTTTATATCTGCAGTCATAGAATAGTTATCATAATGCATTAACTGTGGTAATTTTCTGCCTATGCGGATAAGGCTTTGGTGTAGTAGCACTGAGCCAAAACTTTTACATGTGTGGTGACAAGAAATTAAGCTGTGTGGATGACAGCCAATTAGGTATTTTGACTATAAGTATTTGGGTCTTTGGTTTTTACAAGCTCAGAAATATACTTGTTTTTACAAATAGGAATTCTCATCTTTTGTTTCATGTAATTTCACTGCAAAACATAATATTATACTGTATATTTTAAATAAAA